CCGGCGGCCAGCCGCACACCCCACCGGGGGGGCCGAGCAGCAGCGGGCCCCCAGACAAAACAGCAGGAGGGGCAGCCCAGATCGCAGCCTGACAAATACCCAAACATACACAATCGCACCATCCCACCCTCATCCTCACCCCCACTCAAAGACATACAAAGATGCCACATTCCACTCATACCCCCGATACACACTCTATACCCCCCAGGTCCAGGACATGCACCCACCTCCTAATGGAGGCAGCACACACCCAAACCCAGGAGGTAGACCCAATCATTCTGAGGTGGAGAGGAGCAGGTAGCCAAGGCCTGGCCCGGGCCACACCAGGACGCCCGGCCAGCCCCCTGCCGCAGAGAAGCCACRCCCAYGACCACCCCACCACACCACCAACGGCCAAGCGCACCCCACCAGCCAACCACCTCCCAGAACCCAGCAGCCACCCACAGGAACCAAGAGCCACACCTCAGGAGACCAAGCAGCACCAGGGAGGATCGAGAGCCAGCCCCGCCCCTGGCAACTGTCCAAGCCCTGAGCCCACCCACAGCCCAGGACCGCACCCGGCGGCCCGCCCTTCTTCAGGACCCCCTCCCCAGTTAAGTTGTTAATGAAATAACTTAAAATGATCATTTAGATCCTTTCAGTGGAAAAAAATATTTGAAAGTTATTATCTTACCTGTTGTAGATAGCTCTTTGAACAATGCCAGTTTGGAGACAAAGTTTAATTTTGATTTCTCACTGGATTCAAGGAGCCTGGGCTGTTTTACAAACTCACATTATGAGACTTCAACAGCTGTACCCAACAGCTGCTAATTTGCTGATTGGCTTTTCTCTTTTTAAGGACACAATAAAGTGTATTGTAATATTTACCATTAGGTTATATTACAGTGATGGGCATGGCTCTGCTAACAGCTAATGGTGGAACTCAGGTTTCATTCAGCAGATTAGCTACTTCACTAATTTTAGCAGACCAGTTAGCTTCCTCTAAATTAGGTTTTGCTAACTTTAAGTTTGCTAACAGTTAACTAACAAGCTAATGTCAGCAGGTTTGTGTCAGTCCCACCAGTCTTCAGTTTGAAGAAGATGAAGACATGTGACGCAGACTGAGTCCACATTCAGGGGCTGCATCCTTCGAAACACCAAGTTGAAGGCCGATTACATCACAACRACGCGCCAAAGGCTGTACAAATTGAGAGATGAAACGTACAGTTAAAAAAAAATC